CTCGAAGATTCCTATGGCCACTTTTGCTCTCCTGGGGAAATTCCCCCAGCTTTAGACACTCAAACCTAAGCCCATAGCTGAGGTAGAAGGGACTTTTCAAACAAGATTCTCCTAAAAGCCTAGGGATACTGAAAGCGTAATAAACACACAAAGCATCAGGGCTCTTAAAGATCCAAATGTACAATACTGAAATTAATTCAGAAACAAATTAATGAAAAATAATTTAGAATTTAAATTAAAATAAAAACTCGGGCACTTAAAAGCACCAGTAATCTACAACATTTTAACATTCATTTCTCCTCAAACAATACAAAAAACAGTCATATCAGCATTTAAGGTTATGTTCTAATAAAACAGAATGCATGGTAATGCACACGTGAAACATCTTTTTTAAATAAGAGACTTTCATGCCATAGAAGAGCTTTTATTTTTATTTTATTTTATTTTTACGCCTACAGCAGCTAGTCTTCCTAGGCGGTCTTCCATCTAAGTACTAACCAGGCCCGACCCTACTTAGCTTCTGAGATCAGGTGGGACTGGGCGTGTTCAGAGAGAAGAGCTTTTAGAACAGCTAGACATTTCTTTAATGAAGGTTTGTCTACCTGAAAAAAAAAACTTAAACATTTTTTACCCTTTACTATACTGAGAACGTATATCTCCGTAATTAGACAGACTATCTTAAAATGAATGAATGAACTGTCTTTACAAATCAGAAGTTTAAATTGGATTTTAAAATAAAAATTATATTGTTTTGGAAAGATGCTTTTGGTTTTAAAAAGTGCAGCAAAAAATAGGAATTATGGTGTATAATCTAAGGCATATTTTAATAATTTCTTAAGAAAAGTTTTATAACTAGATAACAATAGAAGTGGACTTTGAGCTATAGCAGAATGTAGAGGTCAGCAAATATTCTCTCTGAAAAACAAGTATAAAACTGAAAAAAACTGCCCAAAAAACCCAAACCATTTCTGGATTGTAAAAATCAACCAAAGGCAAATAAAAATTTTGAAAAGTGTTTAATTCATAAAAAGCTGCTAGAAGTTCACATAAGACACAGAGAGAGTCTGTAGCCTTCTGGCCTAAAAATACCCCCATGTCACCATTTACCTTTACCTGCTCCATCAACAGGTAAGTTTTACCAGAGAGAAGCTGGCCGTGAGGAGTGGCTGTGTTGCCAGGAGGGCTGACTTGATTTCCAACAGATAGTGAAAACTACTGCCCAGTGACGTTGGCAACATAAACAGCAAAATTGGTACTAGATAAAAAGAAAAAACCACAGCTCTGCTAGACAGATATTGCAATGCCAGTTGAGGCAAGCAGATGACCAGTCAGAAATTTAAAGGGGAGATCCTGGAGATAAGACAGTTGTAGAAGGACTAGGTAAGTTCTCTAGGCATCTCCGACTGATGGAGAGCTACACCATGTTCAGGGGAGATATGAGAAGACCTGATAGAAAGTAAAAGCCGATACTAACTTGAATGTTAACTGAATTCTAACTGAATGTTAACTGAATCGGCAAAGGAGGGAACACTTATGGGCTTTAGGTATTTAAGCATAACCTCTGTTCAATCATTGGCTAACCAGCAAGCCATGCAGATATAGCTGGATGACCCCAAAGAAGCCAGACTAAAACATGAAAATAAGAATGAAAAATAAAACAGTAAAGACATCAATGGACATACTTACAAAGAGGCAAATTCTACAGATAAAGCCTAGGAAAGTTACAAAACAAACAA